TTGAGGATACAATCAGAAGACACTCAGTGACATTGTGTAGTTCTGAGAAATATGTGGTCATTCCATGATCGGCTTGAGATTCAATTGGATCAGCAACAAGATACAGACAGGTTCACTAAACCTTCATTTAGATATGGATATTCTTATAAGGTTCTGCTGGTATTTCTAGGAATTTGTGATCCCTAAACTTTCTTGCAATTATAAGGTGATTTTTTTAAAAGTAGAAAGTGTGTATGATATGCATTCTAGAAAATTTCTTCCATTTTTGGGAAGAATCTGTGTTTCATTCTTAGAGTTAAAAACAAAAGTTTAAAACTATAATTCACTATGATAAACTCTGTAATATTTCTAAAATGCCAAAAATCTGGACTAGGAAGGCAATTTAACTCTTAGTCATATATGACACACATTTGAAGTCTATATGATTTATATTTAAGCATCAAAAGATTTCATAAATACATGGCTACTTTAATAAATCCAGAAAAAAAAATCTTTCTGTCATGTGAAAAAAACAAGTTTTATTTTTCATCTCAACTGTATTTTAAAGAGCCATATTTCTTGGTTCTATGATAAGCCTTGGCAAAGACTTTTTAACAGTGTAGGTAACTGAGAAATATAGTACTTTTATAATGTAGCTCTTTATTCAATTTTTTACTGTAAATTCATTATTTTGCTGAAATATTTAATGCTATTTTTGTCATTCTTGCTACTACTCACACTTTTATTGTAATAAATTTCTTAGTACAAATTTTAACTATTAATGCTTTTTTCCCCCAATCTTCCATGGTAGTATTTACAATAAAGACTCTTTTACATATTGAAGAAAAAAATGTTTGCATTCATTCATTCAAAGAATATTTATTATTTGTGCATCTTACATGCCAAATGCTATTTTTAGGCTGGGAAAACAAAAGTGAACAAAATAGACAAAAATATAGGCTTTTATTTAGCTTATGCATTCTGGTGTGGAGAGAGAAACAATAAACATAATAAGTAAGTAAATTATATTCGCACATTAAAAGATGATGACTCCTACAGATGAAAATGTGTGTTAGATATACGGAAGTATATGTTTTATTACAAAAATGCTTTCTACTACAAGAACCAAACCATATTAATTGAAAATCTTCAGAATTCCTAATACAAAAGTAGAGTTACAATATAATATTGATTATTATTTAATTTACTCATATACATATATTGATGAGACACTGTGTTGGACACTCGCATGTTGAAAATTCATTTAATTCCCAATACGACATCATGAGATAGAATCTGTCACTTCAGCTATGCATATGAGAAAACTCTGATGTGGGCAGATGAAATGACTTGCCCCAGTGGACAAAGCAAACAAGTGGCAGAATCACTGTGTCAAATCCAGATTTTAAATTCTCAATCTTTCTCTCTTTTCCCTCTACTTAATTTACTAAGACATTCTATCCTTTGCTTTATCTGAGATGGTGTAAAGATTTCAGATTTTGGACTTCTTCTACCAAAAATAATGTGTCCAGGCTGGTCACAGTGGCTCGGCCTGTAATCCTAGCACTTTGGGAGGCTGAGGTGAGAGGAGTGCCTGAGCCTGGGGGCTCGAGACCAGCCTGGGGGTTCGAGACCAGCCTGGGCAACTTGGTGAGACCTCTTCTCTACAATAAATCACAAAAATTAGCTGAGCATAGTGGCGTGCATCTGTAGTTCCAGCTACTTGGAAGGCTGAGGCGGAAGGATCACCTGAGTCCAAGAGGTCAAAGCTGCGGTGGCCGTGAGTGTGCCACTGCACTCCAGCCTGAGCGACACAGTGAGATTACAACTCAAAATAATAGTAATAATAATAATAATGTGTCCAGTTATAAAACAACTTTCATATAGTCTAGTAAAGTGATTTCTGAAGAAATGTCTTGCAAATCTCTCAAGAAGAGAAAGAGGCAAGTGACTGGAAAATTCACAGCATTAACATAGGTAACACTCATTCTTTTCTAAATTCTGGTCAGCAGGGTTGTGTATCTCAAGAGAAGTTGTAGTGGTGGTCAGGTTAAATGCATTCTTCCACTCAAAGTATATCTTTGACACTGTGGGAGTAACCAGGAGCTTTTATTTCCAAAAGTACTGCCATTAGCATTTGATGATCCTGCACTTGCTGGTGTGGTTGACAAAATTGTTCACGTCTTTTTAATTTCACATACACAGTGTGTGCACCTGTTGCCAGACCGGCTAAAACTGTTCTCGTCCTTTGGTATTGGGCCATTCTGCTGATACAGTGTGTTATAAATATTACAAGGACAGCAGCAGTTTGTATTACAGGATAATTCAACATCATTTAACTGACAAACTCATTTCCTATTCTCTATAGTCTGAGATGTGTTAAAATTTCAGTCTATGTTATGAAGGTTATAATGTTGGCCGGTAATATGGCCAGTAATTATACTTTATGTAGAATATGCTCTATGTAAGATGTACAGTTTTCTCTTGCTTAAATTGATCTTGGTTGGGGAAAGAGAGTGGTGTCTTTCAAAATAAAAAACAATACTTAAACTTTAAAAATACACCATTCTCTCATGAAATCCCTGCTGTGCCTGAGCCGGCTGAAATAGACAGGGGCATCCTGTGATTACAAAAGAAAATAATGTGAGGTGGGAATTCTGGATACAGTGTGTTTTGCTTGAGTGACACTGTTATATTTGGGAAGCATTTGTCCTTCCCTTTCACCTAAACGCTTGTTTGTTTACTTTGGCCTTCCACAGGCTACTTGGTTCCATCTAACCCCTGTTTCCACAGGCTCAACCTGTATTTGGTTTCAAACACTCCATTACCGATAATTATGAAGAACATTAGGGAGAATCATGTCTCAATTTGCAGTTAAATTCTTGCGCTTAAACAGTTTTCTCATCAATAAAATGCGATATTCTTTAATAAGGGGAACTATGCAATCAGTCCTAGTCTTGCAATGTACCATGCATAGAAGGTGAGATTAGCTAGTGTCTATTCCTTTCTATTATGTTCATCTCACACTCACAGCAAGTACCTATGTTAGCATGTGCCAGGCAGAGCTCAAACCCTGAAACAGTTTTCCTGACTCATTGCTATTGTTATTTAAAGAACACCTGAAGGGCATGGTGGCTCAAATGTGTAATCCCAGCTACTTGGGAGACTGAGGCAGGAGGGTCACTGGAGTCTAGGATTTCTGGGCTATAATGAGCCATGACTATGCCTATGAACTCCAGCCTGGGTTACAGAGTGAGACTCAGTCTCAAAAATGAATGAATGAATGATAATCTAAATAAATAGCACTTATGTAATAGCATATCCTATGTGGCAGGCATGATTCTGAGCACTTTACAAATATTAACCCATTATCCTCACAGCACCCTTAGGAAGAAGGTATTGTTTAAAGCCACACAAACTGGTGAAGCCTGGTGATTTGAACCCAGAAGTGTGGCACAGAGTTTTCTGCCCTCAAAGTATTTACTACCTATAATGGTTTCATCTTTCTTTCAATACATATCTTCAAAATTTTGATAGTGCACTATGATCCCTTAATTTACTAACTAACTTCAAGTATTGAGCATGGGCCATGTGCCGTGTATTGGGATAAACAAGGGAGAAGCATGGACAGAGCAGGCCTGGTGATTGAGGAGCTGACGTGACAAAGAGACGTAACTTCGCTTCATAAATGCTAATGAAAATATGCATTTCAGCTAAAACTTTCCAAAGGAAATGATGTTTGGATATTGAGGAATGATTTGGAGGTTTATAGATGGACGAAGGGGGAGAGAAAGGAATTGTAGGTAAAAGGCACAGTGATGTATAAAGGAGCAGGCTAGGGTCAGGAATGGAAATGATTAAGAGTGTGATGGGACCAGAAAAGGAAGACAGAGTTTACGTTTGAATGGCCTTTTGATCCTTGATAAAGACCTAGAATCAATTCTATCAGTATGGGAAATAATGAAGACATTTAAGTACTAAAAACCATGGCATTCACAACATGAAAAATATTGTGTTTTAGGCTCAAATGGGCAAGTTGATTCAGAGCTGACATTAGAAGTAATTTGTATTTTCAATTTTTTTCCAATTCTTTTTCATCTGCCTTTGCCATTTTCTTTGGCTCTTTTTCAACCTCTCCTCTTGTTTGCCCTGACCTCTAGCTAATCTCATCACTCCTTGTGGCAATAAAAAAACATTTTCATTTTATCAAGGTTTAACCTCAAGTTTTCAGAAAAACAAACAAACAAACAACAACAAAAAACACACCCAGTATCTGCCGTTAAACCACATAATGAATTTAAGTTTCGGTCTTCTTTCCACCTGTCAATTAAAAAAAAAATCCCTTTTACAAGTGCCATTGTGAGAGAGAAGAATATTTATATGGGAAAGTAATAAATGACTGAGGGAAAGAAACTAGAGCTATGATAGTTCAGTAGCTCTCCTGTTCTCACACTTTGGAAGATCCATCCTGCCCACTGAGATGCATTCAGGCTTTGTTATGTCCTAATTGAGAGAAATTACAGTCATGGGCATCTTTAAAAAGCTGTGAGATTGCTTCTCTTCTCCACCCCATCCTGACCATATCCTTTTGCACAGAACCCATTGTCTTTGAATATTTCCTCTATCATGTTTATCTAAAATAGCTATTAAAATATAATGCAGCTAGAGCTACTTTATAAAAGCACAATGCAGATGAAAGGCATTGCTATTAATTTATATATTCAGTTAGACCTGTGCTCTATCTTTCTATGCAGGAGTATTCCTCTAAGGGGCTCTACATTTTAATAGCCTCAAATTTTCTTCTTTCTATTAACAGTGAGAACAATTCAGTTCACCTTCAGCTCTTGCCTAGGAGGTCATCTTTATCCTTGTTAGTCTTTCAGATAATCTTTCTTTAAATTTCTGGAGAAAAATATAAAGAATAAATTTCTAAATGGCCCTTGATTTGCATTCATGATATCCTTCATGGCAAATATACTACTTTTTCATGTTTAATTTTTATGACTTCTTTCTTTTCTTAGATTGAAGAATCAATTGAGAGACGCTTTGGCAGTCATGACCGAAGGGCCATACTCTACAGACCTCTTTCCTACAGCAAAACAGAACTCCAATTCCACCAGCGAGTTCTCGCTCAGCATCGCTATGCGGTTGTCATCGCCAAAGAAAGGCTCGATGCTGGCCTTAGGCTGGGGCCGCTAGAACAAGGTCAGAATAATAATTAACTGACAAAGTCACTTGACATACGATGTTAAATAATTTCTAGAATGTGCTACAATCGCCCTGATCTCCCTCTAAAAAAGTTTATAAAGAACAAATTTTCTTCATGATCAATAGAAAACTCGGCTCCTCTTTTTTACTTCCCCTCAATTTTTCTTCAGCAATGTCTCTTTATTCCTGAAATTATTTTGTTTATATTTTTGTAGCATTTTGGAGTTGCATAGTTCATGTTTAAATGCTACATAAAAAAAGTTTATGTTTATGAGCCTGAATCCTGTTTTGCCCAGCACCAAACTGCTCCATATTTTAAGAAAATTGCCATTTCATCTGACTGCAAGTAGAATGTGCTGGAAATTGTTTCCAGAAGCCAACTTAAATGTGATTCACAGATTGGCTCTAAATATGAAAGAAGTATGGATACTTATCATACATGCCATTACTTGTCAAGTACTCTTATTTCTATCATTTGAAGAGAAAAATAAAAGACAAGTTTTTAAACAAGTTATTTGAAAACAAAGTTGAGTAGATGATGGGACTCAAACAAAAATAAAAATAAAGATAACATCTTACATCTCTTGAGCAGTTAACCATATGACAGATTCTATGTCATACTCTGTATCATGACCACATTCAACCTCCACGTTAGCCCCCCGAGTGCCTTAAGATTAAGAAATATTAATTTCTCCCCACCCCAGATTCCAGAATCTGTCGCTGAACAGGGTAATTATATAATGACTACCATGTGAGCAGTTCTCCTGGAGTTGTGAAAAGTGGCCCTGATAACATGCTACTGTTTTGTAAAATTCCTAATTTCCCCTGCCTTCTCGGTGCCTCTGCTGGTTTTCTATAGGATCAACATGAATTACCTGTACATTTCCACTTCAATTCCATGTCAATTTTCAGTGTTTTCCAGCTGCAAAGCAGATGGATTATATCTCTTCTCTCCCTCAGTGTCCTTGGGTCAGTTTCACAGAAAAAAAAAAAAAAAGAATTACTCTGCAGTTTCTTAACATCAACAAAATGCAAAGACAGCCCAAAGGCAATAGAATCTGACAGCCAAAGGAGCTGCTGGACCCAGTGGCACAAGAACACTATACGGTGACCCCAGAATTTGTCAGTGTAAATGCCTGTTTGTTTCCCTTTCCCCACATTCCCACAGCTTTTAAGACAGCTACTTCCTAACTCTTTCTTGGCATTCTTTTATTTAGTATAATAAGATATTCCTGGATACGTCTCAAGAAAAACTAGCAATTTTACAATCTCATGAGTATGGAAAACTGATTTTTGTGTTTTTGTTTTTTTGGATTTTTTTGAGTTGGAGTCTCACTCTGTCACCCAGACTGAAGTGCAGTGGCCGCTCCCAGCCACCACAGCCTGGACCTGCTGGGTGCCAGCGATCCTTCTGCCCCAGCCTTCCAAGTAGCTGGAACTACAGGCATGCGCTACCATGCCCCGTTGATTTTTTTGATTTATTGTAGAGATGAGGTCTCGCCAAGTTGCCCAGGAGGATCTCGAACCCGTGGGCTCAGGCAATCCACTCACCTCAGCCTCCCAAACGCGGAATTACAGGCTGAGCCACCGAGCCCGGCTTTTTGTTTTTTCATTTGATTTTGTAGCTTTCATTGTGAGAACAATGTACATCTAACACCTGAAATTTTTTTAAAGTTATGATGTAATCTAGCATTTCCTTGATTATTTACCATATAAAAAACATTTTAAAATTTCAGCTTATTTTCTATGGCCACAAATTTAATCTACAAGTTATGTTTGAATTAAGGCACTTACCACAAACAGTATTTTATAGAAATATGTTTCTGATAGAACTTGTTTTACTTTAGTTTTCACATGCTTTCATTTCCTGGCTATGTTACTATGTGTATATCAACAGAGAGTATGAAATTCCATTGGCACATCTAAACTTAATTTCCCCAAGTTGAACTGCCTGGGAAGAAGGGGAAGCAATTTAAAATGATCTGGGGCTTGATACCACCTCATTTTACCATTGCAGTTACTGATGTTTGCTAATGTGTAATATGAAAATATTACAGTAAAAACAAAATAGATACTTCCACAAATGTTACTGAGTGCCAAGGTACAGATACGACACATTGACAAAACGTATTCTTGGTACTAGGACTATAAATATAAATGCATTGTTCTTATTATGCTTGTTCATTCCTCTCCTCTCCTGATTCAACCCCAGTCACTTCTGCTGATCTCTCTCTTTTTTTTTTTTCTTTTTTTTTTGAGTTGGAGTATCTCTGTCACCCAGACTGGAGTGCTGTGACTGCTCCCAGCCACTGCAGCCTTGTCCTGCTGGCCTCCGGTGATCTTTCCGCCTCAGCCTTCCAAGTAGCTGAAACTACAGGCGTGTGCTACCACGCCCGGCTAATTTTTTTGATTTTTTGTAGAGATGAGGTCTCACCAAGTTGCCCAGGCAGGTCTCGAACCCACGGGCTCAGGCAATCCACTCACCTCGGCATCCCAAAGTGCTAAGATTACAGGCTGAGCCACCAAGCCCGGCTCTGCTGACCCCTTTTCATGCTGTGCTCGAAGCACAGGTGACCTCTTTCCAGCTTGAAGCCATTTTTGCTTAACCTTTTTGAGAAAGAGAAAAGGGTAAAAAAATAACAAAACTAAAAGGATCACAGGCCAGACAGGCAACAACACTCCACTGTTCCACATATCTGTGTACTGGTAGAATAACCTGTGGCTTTGTATTTATTTAGTTTTTCCGCTACTTATTTGCTTAACATCTACTGAAAAAAAAAGTAGGCAATCGTGTCCCAAATTAGAATATGGTTGATGTGTCTCCCCTCACTCCCCTTGGTTAATTCCATTCTAGTGACATCACAGAAGTTGTTAGTGCTATTGGAAAGATTATAGGGCCATTAATATATGACCTTAAGCAAGTTAAGTTCTCTGAACCCTAGCTCTCTTATGTGTTAGAAGCAGTAATGATATTAATTTCAGAGTAAGATATAGTGAGGATTTAATCATTTTGTCTAGCCCCATCAAAGTTCTGGGAGGAGACACAATAAAGTCAAGCCAATATTTTATCTCGGTAAGGAGTCTGGGAATGGAGCCTCGTATTTTATATGTGAAAAATGGAACAGGTAATTCTTCTGTGTTGCTGAGTTTAGGGAGAACTGCTCTGAGGGATATATTATTGTTTCGAAGAGTAGCAATTTTTTAGAGTTAGTTTGGGAAATAAAATAATGCAAAAGGCAGCTTGCTGTTGTCATCATTACACTGCTTATGATTTAACTGAATGGGTATTTACAACCTGCATTTCATCCTTACACTGATTTAGAGAATAGTATGAGGGCAATTGTCATCACCGATTTAGGCCTACAAAATGTAGGAGAATGAAAACATACACGTTTATAGTCTTCCAGTTCCTTGCTTTGGCAAAGTATATCTTATGTTGCTGACTTTGTGAGAACATATAATTCTCTAAAGAAAAAGATAGAAGCACCATTCCATTATTCTCTTTCCTATCGTGTAGGTGCTATTTAGTAAGTCAATGCTTTAGTACACTGGGTCCTAAAAAGAGAGCTGTTTTCCAAAAGTTTGCAACCTGCTCCTTTCGTGAAATCCAAGTAATATGTGGTCTGTGGGACTCTGACTCAGAGTAGAATTTATCATTGGATCAGAATTGTTTAGGTAATACTGAGTGCATTTAGCAATTTTATGTTAATTTCTGGGTACATCTTGCACCTTCAAATTATGTGTATGTAGGTTCATGTGCAAAACAAAACGCAAACCCACAATCAAAGGTGCAGAATTGGAGTCACTTTTATGGTTTCAAATTGTTCTTGTTTTTGTAACTTGGGTTTCACATAGTATGTTTTCTGAAGAAATACACAAGTAAAAGACTGTATCAATTTTTTTGGCAGAGGCTGGCAAACTGTAGCCCACTGGCCACATCTGGCCCACTGCCAGCTTTTGTAAATAGTTTTAATGGAACATAGCCACACTCATTTGGTTTTGTATTGCTCATGACTGCTTTTCTACAAAAACAGAGTTGATTAGTTGCAGCAAGATCGTCTGGTCTTTAAAACTTAAACATTTTATTAGAAGGTCCTTTACAGAAAAAGTTTGCTGTTTCCAGTATGTAGACCAATTCTGCATAACTTGGTCTCATACCAGCCTGATGATTAAACTCTAGATCTGAGATGTTTTGTTTTTTAACTTACATCAAACTTCATTGGAAAAGGATTTGATAGTTTACAATAAAACATATAACAAAATACATAATGAAAATGTAAAATTAGGACCCAAATTGAATATTCCTCTTAGCTACCATTAGTTGGATTTAGTTTTGGCAGTCTGAGCACCTAGAACTACAAGAGAAAGAATAGAAGAGTTTTACTCTCAGAAAGAAGGGACCATTACAGCTCATCCCTCTAACTTCTCTCATGTCCAGGTAATGGATTTAAAACCATTTTTAAAAAGGGAATATTAAGTAAACAACACTAAGTTAAGTCAAGGGCCAGAGCAACATTTGTATTGCAAATGAAGTAGATGTCATACCTTGGTTCATATCGTAATCTTCCAATATGAGCTGAGAGTGTAACATGACAGCATGGCATAGTGAAGACATTTCTATAAAGGGCTATAGCTAATACTGTGATGAATACTGTTTATCAGTATTTGTAATGATATTAAACTTGGTACATTGTGTTCTGGAGAAAGGTATTTTAAATGATGCTGCTTCACAGCCTTTTCCCTCCTATTAAGGACACTGTAATTTACCCAAATGTGCTCTTGGGAAACACTATTAAAAGATATAGTTAATAGAGTGAGAGATGCAGCTCACTACTTAATGTTGTGGAAAATATATTAAAAAAGAAAAACCTAATTCCTTCTCTGTTTATAATGTAACAGATTTCTTTCTTCCTATATTTTTATGTATACTCAATTGTTCTTTAAAAAATGTCCAATGTATCAGTGTATCACTTGAAATTTAGTCCAATTTTGAAGGT